TATATCTTACATTATTTATGTAAATAGTATTAACTTCACAGATATTAACCAACGATTGCTTATTACACTGTTATTATACTATATAGTTTAAGGATGAATTCCTTAATTTGAAGGTATTTGAATACGTTGAAACGGATGCTCGCTTGGTGTGATGGTGAACCTTGGATTAAAAGTACGGAGGCCTACAGGGACATGCAAATTGCACGCAGTAAACATATAAGAATAAGCACAAAGGTTTCCCTGTTGGATAACAAGCAATATCAGGCGGCATCAAAATTCGAGCAGCCGTGGTGTCCAGAATACGAAACACTTATGAAGGACTTCGCTCTCACATGTCCGTCTGAGAAGCCTGGACAACGTCCTTACAAAATTTCAGATTACATCTCACTCAAACCGAAAGGTTTAAATAATGCGATGATGGCCGTTGCACAGGCCCATTTCATAATGTTGCCTGTATTATATCCGCAAAAAATTGGCATGCATTTCGTAACAGATGAAGATTTAGATGCCTTTTGCCATATGTGGAAATGCTACGGATATTTTCTCGGAATTGAAGATGAGTAAGTAGTAGTTTTATTAACATCCGGTCGCAGAACGCCGAGTTTCTTAAGATACAAAGATTAAAAATAATATATTGCTTTTCCTTCTGCTCGTTATATATAAATAACATATTTTGTAGAAATTTACATGAGAAATCATATGATCGTTATATAAGTACGATACAATAAAGTTCACCGCTCGTATAAAATACAACTCTAGAAAATAAAAATATTAATATCATATGCGAATAGTGTCAATCGATTGTTAGTCCAGCAAAATACGCCTCTCTTTGGTGTCAAACGCTTACTTTATTCTTTACATCTCTTGCATCTTTAATCGAGAACGTATATATGTTAAATATAATCCGTTAGGTACAATTTTTGCAATGGCAACTTGAAGGAAATAAAACAACGATTGCGGGATTTATCTCAACATTGGACAATACAAAATTTTAAGGAAATCCAACCTGAATACGTGCACGTAACAAAATGTATGATAGAAGCTCTAAATTACTACATATATATCCCTTATAAGTCGTTTACGCTATTTTTAACGGAAACATTAAACTTAAACATGCCTAATTTATATGCGTCCCTCAGTTATGCAGAGTGGATTGCCTATATTGCTTTTAGGTGAGTCATATGTATTCTATATAATTTATAATACAGTTTAATATTGTTCGAAATACGATATTAATTCACCGGTGAGAATTTATTCATCATTTCAGATTTTTATTACATCATGCGTTGAAGTTCTCAAGTGTGAGATCATTTGTTAATAAATTGATGTGCAAAATGCTTGAAGCAGCGTTAAATATCGACTCGAAGAAGTTAGCGGAGCTACACGAGAAATCAAAACGACAGTTATCAGATTTTGATATTAATTTATAAAATATTTAAGTTATGTAATATATATATATAATATGTACGTAATATGTATATAATATAAAATGTATATTATACGGGATGTTTGGAGCATACCATGCGTCACACATTTGTAGATTAGTTACACCAGCATAAGTAATGATAGAACACATGAGAAAAAAAGAAGAGGATTATATAAAAAAAAATACTTGTAATTACTTGCGAGGAAATAACGTATAAAAAAGAGTGCTGTATTTGGTAGCCTGTAATTTGATTGGAAATAGCGCGTGATTAGCAAGACGTCAAACGCTTCGGAACAGTTTATAGATACTATCTTAAAAAAGCGGCAGACTTTAATGTACGAAGGACATAGTCCGATGTGAAGAAATCATGTGGTCATGATATGCAATCTATCGAAGTTTGTTTGAAATGTAAGTAAAAAACATTCATTTTTATCGAGAAAGTTTATCTTGTTTCTACATTTCACATATATATATAGCTACGTCCGGTTTCGCGTCGCGACGTATTTGTGCTTTGGACGTTGCTTGCCACTGTCTTTAATAGTCAATTTACCTTTTGTCTAATAACGATCGACCACGCACAAATGGTAAGTTTCTACGGACCTTTTATGCGTTCTCGCGTTAAAAATAAATTCTTTCTGAATTGTAATGGGGATTTGTAATTTTGATAATTTATCAATAAATGGTTTTCTCTGTCGTGATATTTTCCATGATTATATCTATCCGTACTTGTTCTTACTCGAGCATTTATCTCACTTTTATTCAAAATGACACAGAACGTTGTAATATTCGACGTGGTTTCCGAGTTAGCGCTATGTTTCTCGAAGATTTTTCTCCGATATTTCGTGAACATTCCAGTTCATTTCTTCAAGGTGAGGATCGATATAAAATAGTTCCACAATTACTTGGAGGATGTAATTCTTTGAAAGACGTGGTACCGGCTAGGAAGCCACCTCAAATGTTTATCCATACCGCGAAAGTATAAAATTTTACACAGCATAATTTATAGGACGAAAATAATTCGGCGTCTATATTATGCCGTCTATAAAGTCTGCTCTACTTATCTATCTTCCGAAAGTAATATGTCGTTATAGGCGCGTAATATATTACATACGAACATAGTGTTAAAGATTAAATGAGGGACTTTGACACATAAAAATTATCGATTGTGATAAATTGGCCCGTGATAAATTATTGTTACCAAATAGTTTTACTGCTTGTACGAGTACCAAAACTGCTTTATATTGCTGGCCAATTTATCATAGCCAATAATGGTTTTCTGTAAAGAAAAGAGATAATAAATGCGGCAAAATATGTGATCTTTTATAAGCTTATCTTGAATAAGCTAAAAAAAACTACTAATAATGAATAGTTGCAGAAAATGCAGCGTATATGCGCCGATACTGAACTTCCGAGCAACTTCGATGATTGGACAGTGCAAGAACAAAGTGACTGGATGTATCACAATATGACGGATTTATATAAAAACGTGCCAGAATCTTTACAAAATCTGATCCCGTCTGCCACACGTCCACTCGATTTCAACCGATCACTAAATGCGTTACCTGAATGGATGGACCCAGAAAAATATCACAGAGGACAAAAGGTTGTGCGCGAGAATTATTTCTCGATTATCATGGTTTTTATATTCGGTTCCATTTACGGCTACACTTTCGAGGATGCCCTCAAAACAATTATCATAGGAGGGAACAGTCATACACCATATTTAGCATTCAAAAGGTATTTTTCTGACATATTGTCTTTTAATTTATAAGCCTGACATCGAAATAGCAGCAAGAGTGATATTTCCATACAGAACAAATGTGCGACAGAAATCGTAGGAACGTACCAAAAATATTCGAATATTTTTAGGACATCTCCAGCACGTCTTTTGAACATTTGTGCTGTATTGATAAGGCAGAGATTGCAGAATTAGTAACAAATGACATCGACATATTACAGTTTTTAAATATTTTTTAAATATTTTTGAACATATTACGCAACTACTTGCATATGCGTAAACTTTCCCGAATCGATTTAAAACGTCCCCAACATCACACTGTTCCCTTTAGACAAGGTTCTCCTCCCTCCTTCTTTCATTCTTTGCGCATTTAAAATAATTGTAATAAAATTAAATATATCTTACATTATCTATAATAGCATCAACTTCACAGATATTAACCAACGATTGCTTATTACACAGTTATTATACTATATAGTTTAAGGATGAATTCCTTAATTTGAAGGTATC